CATCGAATTAATAATAGATACATATAAAAGATAAATGAAATTAAAATTAGATCATATAAATAGATACATGAAATTAATATTATATCATATAAATAGATACATGAAATTAATACTAGACACATATAACATATACACAAAATTAATATTAGATACTTCTATGATACATATGAATGTACGTGTATGATACTCATGTATCTAAGTGTTTAGTTTGTTGGATACATCATATATTGATAATAGATACATCAAATTAATGAATTTTATTATTTTAAGAGTAATAAAATGAAATTAATCAAATTGCATGACCGAGATATACACGTTTTTGTCTTTTATTAATAATATTAATGAATTTATTATTTCAAATAATAATAAAATGAAATTAATTAAACATAGATACACTCCTTGATTTCCGCCTTATATTAAGGAAATCAGTTACAACCTATTAATTTAAACAAATAAAATACGTATCTCAATTTTAAATTCGGCAGATACATGTATCTCACAGATTTAAACTCATGTATCTTAAGTATGAAATATGGTAGAGGAAGTAATATCTAAAACTATCAGGAATCTAAGTAATTAGGACCTAAACTAGTGGGATTTATGTAGTTTGCCCTTTTATTATTTGTGCCATTTCGCTACATTTGCAGAAACATTGCGAGAAAGATATGAACCATTTCCTCAATTCAGGTTTGTGTCTATCTCTATGTGTCATTAAATATGTATATGTGTGTGTGTCTTTGATATTTGTTTGTGGTGTTGGATTTAAGTTTGTCAAGAAGGTGAAAAATTGAATTTTGATGTCCTTAGCATTCATTTCTTGAACTTTCTTGTCTATGTATGTTGAGAACTTGAGATCTTGAAGATTTGAGGGTTGTGCACTGAAGTACTGCTCTGTTGACTCTAGCCATTCTCTGTGTTGGAATTTTTTATGGATGAATCTGTTTTTGTCTGTTTTTTTTCTTTAGCTCCATACTCATACAAAAGATATTTCTCCACTAAGTTGAAAGAGGTTTTATTACTATTTATTATAAGCAACACATATATCCTACAAAAAGAAAAAAAGAATTTCCATAGAAGTCTTATTCCTATAGTGCATCATAATTTATATCTTTACACTGATTGATTTATTAATTGATTTTCAAGATATAATATAACGTTTCACAATGATCCTGATCTTGATACAAAATTGTAGGATCATTGTGATTAAAGACTATTATATTCATGGGAAATGCAATTTCTAATGAATTCTTGTATTACACCAAAAGTGTGAAGTTCTTACCTTTAGGGTTAGATAACGATTTTGCCTTTGTTTTTTTTTTTTTTTTAAACCAAATTTGAGCTCGAAGCTCTTTTATTCAATAAAAAGAAACACAGTACAAGTCCTCCTGGCCCAATTTTCAAATTGGAAAGTTAACCCATATATGATTATCCTTTTTCTAAATTTAACCCTATTCCCAATTCTATCCCTAAATTTTGTTTCCAAAATCTCTTTTTTCATGTTTCTAGCTGCTCCTCCTTCTTGCTTCTTCCTTTCGAGAATTTTCCGTTTCTCCGATGCCTTCTTTGGAGCAGTATTCAACCATGGGTGTGTGATGCTACTCTTCTTCAACTGCTTCAAAAGGTACTGCCCCTGTTTATCTTCCTCCTTCTTTGAGCATCTAATCTTTCCCTTTTTTGTAGGTGTATGTATCGATTCAAAGTTCCATCTGTAGTCTAAGAGGAGCTTAATCCAATGCTTCGACTTCCATGTCTCAAGTATGTCTCCTTTCCTATTTCTGCCTTGATATCTAAATCCCACAGCGTGGATAGCTATAGATTTAAATATGTTGCTCTCGAGTTTCCTCTCTTTGACACTAGAAGGTGCGTATTGGAATCGATTCTGAATGTGTGGTCCTCGACTTTTGCTGGTGGAACTCTTTGCAAACTCATATCCAAGACTAGGTAGCTCTTTTTTTCTCACCAATTTAATGCCCTGGTAGTGGCACAAAATTGTAATGTAACTATAAAAAATGGCAAGACTATCCACTTCTTGATTAATGTATCTGTCATCCATGTTGGCTGCTTATATCTGTTATCTTTCTTGTCTTGATTCTCAAATTCGTGATTTGTGCTTTATCCATGTTTAGAATCTTTCTACACTTTGCTGGTAGTTGCTCAAATTGCATGTATTCCTGTATCTGCAACATACTGTATGCACTTTTAACAATGGCATCTGCTAATTGATTACCTTCTCTATATACATGCTGAACTTTGAAGCTGTTTTGTTCCACCATTTGTGTTACATCGTCCATTATTTCTAGCATCTCCCAAGGTATTTTCCATTCCCTAAGTATCATTTTCTTGATACCTAGTGAATCTGTTTCAATTATGACCCTCCTGAGCTTGTTTTTTATACAGAAATTAAGCCCTCTCTGAACAGCTGTCGCCTCCGCCATATTATTTATGGTAGTTCCTATCTCCTGAGCTTCTGCAAAGACCAAGTCTCCCCTTTCATATCTTATACAAAAAGCATAAGTGCTGACTCCTGGATTACCTCTTGATGATCCATTTGTGTTGCACTTAAACCAGCTTGCTTCTGGCATCTTCCAGGTCACACTTTTATGGAATAGTTTAGGTTTGTAATGTGTGAAAAAAATAACCATTTCCTCCCAAGTAGCTGGAAATTGAATCCAAGGGTAGGTTTGTTTTATGAACTGGTTTATTGTGTTTTGACACTGTTGAACCAGTTTGAAAAAACTCACATCTCTTTCATATCTCCTAGCATTCTCCGCTTCCATAATTCCCACAGAAGAGTCGCAGGTACTTTTTATGAAGATCTTTTGTATTTTGGTAGTACTCTTGACCTTCCACCATGAATTTATAAGTTGTTGTAAATGCACTCCATCTAGTTCAATACCTGCACAGAAAGCAAATTTCTTCCATAGCTTTTGGGCTATGGGAGATGTTAGAAAAACATGCTCCATCGATTCTTGTTCGTAATCTTCACAGCAATGACATCTCGAGGCAATTTGTATCCTCATTATCTTCAGATTATCATCTGTGGAGATTCTCTTTCTCAACACCCTCCAGAGGAAGAAACTGATTTTGAGAGGTAAACCCTTTATCCACACATTCGACAACCATTCTTTTTCCTCTCTCCTTTTCCTCAGCATCTTGAATGCTGATTGGACTGTGAAGTCCCCATTGGTATTGCTCATCCATATAGGGCAGTCTGCTTCATAACCAATCTCTGGTTTGATACTCTCAATAATGAAGTTAGTCATGTCTTCAGAGATAAAACTCTGAAGTTTCTCTTTATTCCAACCATTAATATCATTAAAATCTTTTACCTCCAAGTCTGATCTTTCTATGCCTCCATCCTCAATAAAGTATAAAGCTCCTTGTTGTGTCCAGTTGTCATACCAAACGCTACACTTTCCTGCTCTTATTTTCCACCAAATTTCCTGTTCCATCTCTTCCCTAATCTGAATCAGCATTTTCCAAATATGTGATGCTCCACTCCCTTTGGCCATGACTGGATGATCTTTTTTGCAATACTTGTTCCACATAAAAGTTCCCCACAATGAGTTAGTAGCCAATCTAAAATTCCACCACAACTTAGCAAACAAAGCCTTAGCAACATCATGAAGAGATCTAAATCCTACCCCACCTTTCTTATGGGGTTAACACAGGTCGTCCCAAGCCACCCAATGTTTACCCTTCAAACCTCCTATTTTCCCCCAAAAAAACTTTGCAAAGATTTGATGAATCTTATTTATGATACCTTTAGGAGGGTTCATTGCTGATAGTAGGTAAACAGGCATAGATTGTAGTACGTGAGCAATAAGTATTTGTCTTCCCCCATAAGATAAGAACTTGTTCTGCCAGCACATCACTCTTTTGTTGATTTTACCTAGGATGTATTCAAAATGTGATACCTTCTTTCTCCCATAGAACACTGGACATCCTAGGTATGTGAATGGAAAATGATCTTGTTGTATCCCCGTCCATCTTCTTAGTCTCTGTCCTGATATAATAGGAGCCTTCTCATATAGGTAGAAAAAACACTTGTTCTTGTTAATCATCTGTCCTGACACTTGTTCATAATCTGCTAGGACCTTCATCATCTTTTTCACAGATTTCTTATTCCCTGAGCAAAACAAAATGGTATCATCCGCATATGACAAGTGATTTATGTTTGGAGACCATTTCGGCATGCCATAACCCCTAAACTCACCATCTTCATGTAATTTATTCAGTCCACGGGCCAATACCTCTGCAGCTATGATAAACAAAGTAGGTGATAAGGGATCCCCTTGCTTTAAGCCCCTAGATGACGGAAAGAACCCATAAGACTGCCCATTTATCAATACTGAGTACCAATTATTTGATATTAATCTCCAAATCATGTCAATCATTCTCTCCGAAAATCCAAACTTCCTTAGTACGTTCGTAACGAATATCCAAGAGACCCTATCATATGCTTTAGCCATATCCAGCTTCACCACTACATTCTGCCACTTATTTCTCATATTGATATCTCTTATTCTTTCTTGTGCGAGGAGCACGTTTTCTGTTATGCTTCTTCCTCGAATGAAACCAGATTGGTTTGGGGAAATGAGTGTTGGTAGGATATTAGCAATTCTTTCATGTATCAATCTTGAGATGATTTTATTGATAAAAGTACTCAAACTTATTGGCCTTAAATCAGTAAAATTGTGGACATTTTCTTCTTTCAAAATCAGGATTAGATTTGTATGAGTAATGAACCTGGGCAATGTCTGTCCACAAAAAAATGTCCTGACCATTTTAGAAATGTCCTCATTAATAATTTCCCAGCACACTTGGAAAAAAGCTCCTGAAAATCCATCTGGCCTACTGGTGCTGTCCCCATTCAGCTTGTAAACCACCGTTTTAATCTCCTCCAAGCTTGGTAGTTCTTCCATGTTGTCATTCTGCTCTGCCGAGATCACATGAGGTATATTATCGATCATCTCTAAATTATTCATCACATCTGCTTCTCAAAACTGGTCCCCAAAGAAATCAACAGTTGTCTCTCCTATTTGGTCATGAGTCTTGAAAACATCTCCATGATTGGATTGAATCTCTCCTATATGCAGCTTTTTCCTTCTCCCTTTGACATATGTATGATAGAATTTTGTATTCCTATCCCCATCCTTGAACCATCTCATACCTGCCTTTTGCCTCCAAAATTCTTCTTGAATGTTGAGATATATTTTGAGCTCCGCTTCAGCTTTACTAAGATCACTCCTATTAGCCTGTGTTGGGCTAATTTCGAGTTGAATCTCCTTAACCCTAATCATATCTTCAAGTGTAGCCATTTTCTCAAAAATGTTCCCATAAACTTTTTTGTTCCACTTCCCTAATGTTGTCTTTACTTTCTTCATTTTGGCCTTAAATTCTAAGAATGGGTTCCCAACAAAATCAATGCACCATGCTTTCCTTACTATTTCTAAAAATTGTGGATGTTTAGTCCAGAAATTTAGAAATTTAAAAGGTTTGACCACATTTGTTTCTTCAGAACTACACACCATTAGTAAGGGAGCATGATCTAAACCCTATCTAATTAGGTGTTGAACACTACTACTCGGCAGTATATTCAGGAACTCATGGTTGACCATAACCCTATCTAACCTTTTGAAGATACATCCCTGTTCTATCCTCCCATTCCACCATGTAAATTTGCTTCCTGTGGTTGGTAATTCCACAAGCGCACTATTGTTAACACAATGTGCAAAGTCAGCAGCCTCTGAATGAGTAAAAGGGAGACCTCCTAGCTTTTCCTCTGCATTTAGTATCACATTAAAATCACCCCCCACTATCCATGGGTCACTACTTCTACCTAAGAGCTCCTCTATTTCTTCCCACAACTCCATTTTATCTGTCTCAGTACATCTTGCGTACACAGAGGTAATAGAGAATGGTTTATTGTGAAAAAGAAATTTCAAAGTTATTTGTTGATGAGTATCCCTTGTCACATAACCTGTCCACTACTCCCTCCAAAAATCCAGATCTTCGATGAAGAATTCCTCACTGCATTATCAAAACCCAATCTCCTCTTATAAACCTCTATCTCATCTAGATCTTGAAAAGGTTCCAGAAGAGCAATGAGTGAAAAATGATGTCTCTTATTCATTTCTATTAATCTCTCAAATGATTTTTGAGAATTAACAGATCTGATGTTCCAAAATAATATTTGTCCTATCATTGGGTAATGATATACCCCTTCTCCTTACTCCTCCTTGTCTTTACCTGAAGTGGTATTATAGTATGCATAATCCTATTCTTCTTATAACCACTTTTCAGCTCCTCCATCTGTCGAGGTGATAAGTCCCATGCCTTGCTGGCACTCTGTATGTTCATGTCCATATCGTCATCTTTTTCCTCCTGATAGCTTTGCTTCTGAGTTGGCGTCAGCTCATGAATATCTGGAATACTTTTATCTCCCGATTTTGACTCAACTATGCATAAAGGGTCTGGTGTTGACTCTTTATTCCTCTCCTTCTCGGGGTCCCATATTGTAATTTCTTTGCCTTCATTTCTGTTCAAAAACATTGTGTCCTCTCCTTGCTTATTTTGTGTTTTATCATCTATCCCTTGTCCATCATTCTCCTTTTCATGATCAACTGAACTTTTCCCTAAAGCTTCATGGCTTGTGAAGTAGTCCTCCACCCACTTCCTTGTTGACACTTTCACTTTTGTGTTAGATGTCTCCTCTATGGTCTCCTCAATCTGATCTGGATCCTTTAGTGCCTCAAACTGATTATTCTACTTCCACCCTTCTTTTTCCTTCCCCATAAGTTTTGGCTTAGGATTCCAAACTTGTGTACTGGCTCTGTGCTCATTGTATCTCAGAATTGTGTGATTCCTTCTATTTCTTTGTTCCTGAAATTATTCCCTGGCTTGTTCCGTTTCCCCTTTCTCTCCTGCCTTAGCTTTGCCCCCCTCTGTTATTGTCTGTCCCATCTCCTTGTGACTTTTATTTTCTTGCTTCTCCAACTCATTCTCCATACTAGCTTCATTCTTCTTTGGATATAATTCCGGGTGTAGCGCATAACATTCTTGTTCGTTGTGTCCTTGTAGCCTGCAAGTCACACAGTATTTAGGAACATAATCGTATTTTATTCTGATCCACTTTTCCACCACCTCACCAGACTGTTTCCTAACCCCAATATTGATTCGTTTTGGGAATTCTCCCAGAAGGTCCACCTCCACTTTGACCCTGGCACAGCTGGGTCTTGTCTGATTTTTGGTCGCCATATCCACCTGCAATGGCTTACCAACTGCTGCAGCGAGAGAAAAAATCGCTTCCTTCACAAAAAAATTAGGTGGAAGTCCCGGAAAGGATATCCATGCTATGGCTGTTGTCGTTTCCTCCTCCGGGTCGAACATAGATCCCATTTGAGTGTCCTCATGGGATACGACCATTGTCGTTGTGTCAAATAAAAAGTTGGCTTGGAAAGCAATTTGACATAATCCTCCATAATCTCAGCTCTGATCAAAACATGTCGAGTACCCAATAATCCAATAATACATTCTCCTTTTAGCTCACATTGTTTCGGGATTATCTTCCGTAATTCCTTGATTTCTGGCATTCCATAAGAGAACTTCCCAATCACAGCATATTGTAAATTTTCCTTGTAAATCATCTGTGTGACTTCCTCCTCTTCCCATACAATTCTTGGTTCCCCGTGAAGATATGAAATTGGTCTCATTGTTACTGGTTTAGTATCCACTAAGCTTGGACGTAAAATTGCAGCATAGTTTCTTGTAAGCGTTGGATCTGCTAGGGTTTGACCAGTCTCCGGAGGAGGCTGGCTGAAAGTGGTGGCCATGGCCACCGGTGAATCAAGGTAAAAGTGTATTTGATATGAATTGATTAATTACTCGGTCACATCCAAAAGTTGTTGTTTTTTTTTTTATTATTATTGACGATTTTGCCTTTGTTGTAAATTAAAATATAATAAAATAATTAACTGTTATATAGTAATATTTTATCATATCATCATATCTTTTTCAATAGTTTGCTTGTGTTGTCATCTCCTATAATTATTTATTTATTGTTGTAAGTAACAGATGAGGCATTGGACCATTTTTAAAGGCAACAAAAATAGCAGTAAATGAGGACATTGAAAAGTCCAAAGTTGAATTATCATTTTATCCCTACTATCCACTTTTAATAATATATATAATTTTATAAAACATCTAATTAATAATGTTATAAAATATCTAATGAATTAAATAGTAAATTCTCCATACATACCGAGAATCCACAATGATTTAGATACTAGCTACCGTAAGGTCATATTGATCGAATCTATATAAACAGTACTCCCTTGTCCCTAGTTACTTGTCTACTTTTCCTTTTTTAGTTGTTCCTAATTACTTGTCCATTTTGACAAATTAAGAAAGGACAATTTTTTTCTACTTATTATACCGTCAATTAATTACTTTGGAAAATGTAGAACTTCTTGAAAATCTTAAGTTTTTAATTCATGCACTTCATAATTAATAGGGGTGAAATGACAAACTCACTATGTCAATAAATGTTTTCTTAATAGGTGTGTCAATTCAAAAGTGGACAAGTAATTAGGGACATAGGAAGTATTATCTAATAAATAATTATCAGCATGAGATTAGGCATGTACAAATTAATATGGTAGTGGGGGACAAACGTGCAACGCACGTTCCCAAGAACTAGTTCATAATATAAGTATAACTTTATTTTTCTAATTGATAGGATTTTTTTTTATATAAAAAAAGCCATAACTTTTGTTGGTTTACCTTCTCAAGGAGTAACATAGAATTTGAAGTTGAGTGTCTAAATTATTTTTTTCCAAATTTTTTTTGACAAATATTATTTAGCAAAGTTCTTTAATTTGTATTATCATATTGGAGTTCACCTCTAATTTTCTATTTTTGAATGTAAATGTGAGCAGATCCCATAAGAATTTAAAGCTAAACGTAATAAGGGATGAGATAAAGTAGCAAAAAGAAAGAAAAAAAACGATGTATAATGCGAGAGTTTACTCCAAGGTAAGAAAGAAAAGTTTGAAAGAGATAATGTACAAAAATTGTGGGATTGTAAAAATATTTTGAGAGAAAATATATGAAAGTAGTTAATTATTTTAATTTTAGGACTTATTTTAGTTAATTAAACTTCATTCACTAATTTTAAATTATGACATGTTTCCTCAATCAAAGCAAGAGCTTGAAGAAAACGAAGAGAAAATAAATGGAGAGGAGCCAAATCCCGCGAATTTGGGCATGCCACAAACTAATAATGGAGGAAGTATGTGGATCACTCACACATGACTATTGACTATGAAACTTTTATTATTAAAGTTTTTATTGAAAGAGAAAGTATGTGGATCGCTCCAATATTGAGCTAGGTACCCCAAAACTTTTATTCGTGTATTAAAAAAATTATTTTTAAATAGAGTGATATATTTTTTTATTTGATAAATATTTACTGACGTTATCAATCTGTTATTTAGGTTAGATCTCACTTATTTGGAAAGAAATTTACAAAAGAATATATTCTTTTAATTAAAATTTCATTTATTTTAAAAATAATTTTAAATATTATAAAGTTTCCTCATATTCGTTAGAGTTTAGACTCTACTCATTTAAATAAAATCAGATGAGTACAGAGAAAGTAAGAGCATTACTAATAATTATGCCAAATTGATTCGTATGTCTCACGTTGGACTCCTTTTTCTGTAATCCACTAAAATTGGGAAGTGTCCTAAGTTTCGTTCCTCACTCGATCACAATTGCATGACGCTTTAATTCGATACTCTGCTTACGGACGAGGATGAATATACACCTCGATTCAAATATAGTTGGGTTATTCATAAAAAATGGTCTTTAATTTTTACCCTTCAAGAAAAACTTTGCAAGATATAATACCCCAAACATAAGTTAGTTTTGCGCTAAGACATAAGTGTCGTGACATTAACTTGTCTTTGTTAGGGAGCACTTTATCTGGGACTTTCCGACGCAAATGTGTCATCATCATTAGGATCATGTTATTGGTGGTTACTGAAGTGAACCCTTCTTCGTGTGAAAGCTTCCTGGTCCATCACAAGATCAGACTCGTCTTTGAATTTGGTTTACTTATATATAATCTTTTAAGAATAGGTTTTCTTTTAAAAGAATAAATAAATTGAAATACTCGAGCAAATATTCTTAAAAACATCTATCATAATTTTTGTGAAGACATGACAATAATGTAAAGATTTTTTTTCCACACTACCTTTTAAATTAAGTTACTATTAATACTTATCATAAAGATATATTCGTAATTATCTTATACATGACTTGACTATATAAATATTTTTTATATACAGTTAGCATATTGAATTTAAATTCATTTTGTACCCTTATGACTTAATTTTATTTTTGAGTTTACATTTTATGCACAATTAATATATACTAGAATTTTTAAACAATCATGTTAACTTCGTTTTTTTCAACATTATATTAATAATTTTTAAAATAAAAAAAGCAACCTACTATTAAAGTGAGGGATGCTACAATGTTCTAATTAGCGGCCATATTAAAATATTCAATATATATATATATATATTCTTTTAATTAAAATTTCATTTATTTTAAAAATAATTTTAAATATTATAAAGTTTTCTCATATTCGTTAGAGTTTAGACTCTACTCATTTAAATAAAATCAGATGAGTACAGAGAAAGTAGGAGTAATACTAATAATTATGCCAAATTGATTCGCATGTCTCACGTTGGACTCCTTTTACTGTAATCCACTAAAATTGGGAAGTGTCCTAAGTTTCGTACCTCACTCAATCACGATTGCATGACGCTTTAATTCCATACTCAGCTTACGGACGAGGATGAATATA